ATTGGAGAAAAAAGTTACTCAGTGGATACTTGACAATCGTCAAAATAAAAAATGTGTTAGTCGTGAAGCCATCTGAATCCATCCACGAAACAAATCAAAGAAAGATGAATGGATCTCTGATTCATGGAAGGAAATAAAAGCTGACATTTTTTTCAAATTTTTCAAGAAATTTGGAATTTCAAATGCACTGGACGGTACAGGAGACAATTATCTATGGGATGACATGGATGAAGAAGCAGCAATGATGTACTAGCTCTAACTACAGACAGCGAAGGTGAAGAGGGTCAATATGATGATAGCATTCATACTGTTGATTATGAAGCTTAATTCAGTGAAGATGTTGAAGATGTGATTTTGCAGGATTTTAATGAACTTTTGTATTTGACATGTTTAAGTTGCATCATGTAACTCTAACTTAAAGCCGTATTATATTTCTACTTCACTTCTTGTATGTATAAGAACATAAGAACTAGGAGCAGGAGTAGGCCATCTGGCCCTTCGAGCCTGCTCCGCCATTCAATAAGATCATGGCTGATCTTTTCGTGGACTCAGATTCACTTACCCGCGTTCTCACCGTATCCCTTAATTCCTTTATTGTTCAAAAAAATCTACCTTTTGTTTTTAAAAACGTTTACTGAAGTAGCATCAACTACTTCACTGGGCAAGGAACTCCATAGATTAACAAACCTCTGGGTGAAGAAATTCCTTCTCAATTCAGTCCTAAATCTGCTCCCTCTAATCTTGAGGCTATGCCCTCTTGTCCTAGCAAATAAAAGCTTACTAATTCATTTTTGTTTCTATTGTTTTTAATCCGGTAATTACCGTAATTCATCGTTTTTTTTTTCTTTATTCGTTTGAGAGATCAATTGGGCTTCTGCTAATGATACAGAATTTTGGACTATAGCATGAATTTCAGCCCTTCAAAAGTAGTGTTCATGTAATTGTTGAACCCATAAATTTAATCTTCAAAAAACAGTCTAAAAAATTTGACTTTTACACAAGCATATTCGGTATACAAGTTCTGCCTGTTTGTTATACCAAAATGCAATACTTGACATTTATCCATATTGAACTCCATCTGCCATTTTTTCAGCCTATTGACTCATGCCCTCAATATTCTCATCCAAATCTTTATATAAATGACAAACAAATGAAGACCCAGAACAGATTCTTGTGGAACACTACCGGTGACAGGCCTCCAGTCCGAAAAGCAACCTTCCAACACCACTTTGTCTCCTGCTATTAAGCCAATTATATATCCAATTGGCAAGCTACCCTGAATCCCATGCGACCTAACTTTATTAATTAGTCTACCACGAAGAACCTTGTCAAAGGCTTTACTAAAATCCAAGTAAACAATGTCAACTGCTCAGCCGTCATCAGGTTTTTTGGTAACTTCCTCAAAAAACTCAAAGTTTGTAAGATATGGTTTTCCTTGCACGAAACCATGCTGACTGTGCCTAATCAATTTTTGCCTCTCTAAATGTTTATAAATCCTATCTTTTAGAATCACCTCCAACAACTTACCCACAACCAAAGTCAGACCGACAGGTCTACAGTTTTCTGGTTTCTCCTTGCAACCCTTCTTAAACAAAGGCACAACATCAGCCACCGTCCAGTCATCCAGCACCTCACCCGTTGTTATTGATAGTACAATTTTTTCTGCAAGGGGCCCCGCAACTTCCTCCCTTCCCACAGCATTCTGGTATATATTAGATTAGGCTAGCAGAGATTTATCCACCTGAATATTTTCTAAGACCTCCAGAAGTTCCTCTTATGTAACGTGAACTGTTTTTAAAGCATCATTATTTATTTTGTTGAGATCTCTAGCCTCCATTTCTTTCTCCACAGTAAAAACTGATGCAAAATATTAATTTAATGTCTCAACCATCTCCTGGGGTTCAACACAAAGATGGCCTCTAATCTTTAAGGGGCCCTATCTGCTCTCTAGTTTACCCTCTAACTTTTAATGTATTTGTAGAATCTCTGGATTATTCTTAACCCTATCTGTCAATGCTATCTCATATCCCCTCTTTGCTTTCCTGATTAAAAACCGAAAGAACTGCGGATGCTGTAAATCGGGAACAAAAACAAAGTTGCTGGAAAAGCTCAGCAGGTCTGGCAGCATCTGTGAAGGAAAAAAACCGAGTTAACGTTTCGGGTCCGGTGACCCTTCCTCAGAACCTGCACTGCAAGGTCTCTTTGTTCAGCAACACTCTCCAGGATCTTACCATGAAGCGTATAAGTCCTTCCCTAATTTGCTTTTTTGTTGCTTTCCTGATTTCCTTCTTAAGAATGGCTACACTACAAGATGACAACCTTGTCCTGGGAAGTATTGAGTCAACTTGCCTGTTAACTGCTACTTAACATTAATTGGTGCATTCTCTTTAATAATTCTACTAGAGTCCACTGGCAAAACAATTAGGACTTCCATCTCATGCGGTATAAATTTGGCACAAAAACAACGTTGCTGGAAAAGCTCAGCAGGTCTGACAGCATCTGAGGAAGGGTCACCGGACCCAAACGTTAACTCTGTTTTTTCCTTCACAGATGCTGCCAGACCTGCTGAGCTTTTCCAGCAACATTGTTTTTGTTCCTGATTTACAACAGCCACAGTTCTTTCCGTTTTTATTTAGTGTAAATGTGGCTTTCCCCTAAATCTGTTTTCTTGCAAATTGTTCTGAGGAGTGCAAAACGTAAAGCTTTGGCAATAATGTCTCTTTTCAGCAATATTCAAGTTTATACAGGTTTAAGCACTGCTTAGAGAAATGAATGTTAAATCAGCATATAAATCCATAGATACTGGGACTCTCACTTCTGCATTTTAGCAGCAAACAGAAGTTTGAAACAAACAAAGACTTTACAACTACCACAGAACAGAGCAATTCAGTCAAAACTAAAGTAAATAGAAAAATATGAATAAACTGTCACTATCAATATTAGTAATAACAGTAGTAAATTTCTCTAGGGTTACAAAAACAAAAGAGCTCTCTGCATAAACTGTAAAAGGATTTGGCATCTTCTAATTCACACTAGTTTGCTGAAGTTACAAATTTTCAAATTGGGGTATTTCTATTGCAGCCTTTAGAGAATCTAATTGGTTCACAATGTCATTACGATTTCTATATTTGTTGGCTCACTAGCATGTTGTTTCTGTCACTGTACACTAATGAAAAGCATTGTGTAACAGCAGCAATGTTTTATTTTGAATAGTCAAGAGGGATCACGAAGTTTAATAATTGCAAGGTTTGAGTATGGTGTTTTGAAAGCTAGTTACATCAGAGAAAACAGGTTTGATGTTAAAGGCTCAGTGTTAATCCATTCAGAAATAAAACATCACTATTGCAGTGTTGTCCATAACATTATTGAACCTGGGTAGGATTTTTAAACTTGGTGCATTGTTTAAATGAGTAGTATTTCATACTATATCACACAACTCTGTATTCGACCTGCAAATCTTCAATAAGTCAATACAAAATTTGCAAAAATTCACTTCATTAAAACCAGATCACTAGAACGATTAGGTTTTCTCTCTGCAACATTAAGACAAACAAACAAGGAAAATTAAAAAAAAACTGACTCAGTATTGCAGTACCACCAATGCAAAAGGGTCAACAGATTCTGTTACGCACTGCAACCCTACTTTGTCAAAAAGCTTGGAAGGTTAATACAGGTGCTGTCACAACTTAAATCGTGCTACTGACTTGCTGCCAATTTGTCACATTCTCGGTAACAAATGTGCTCCTGTAGGCGACAAGTGAGGACATGAATTTTAGTTGTAGTACACACTTAAAATGTCCCAAGATGCAACACAAAAAGCACCAAGAATTATTGTATTAATGACGCTAAATTATTGAACAGTAACAATATCAGCCAAGACAAATAAATGTCATTATGTCTTTTTAAACTATCATATTCAAATATTGTCCTTTCCAGAACAATCCAAGAAACCTGAAATACAAAGTGTACACTATCTTGTATCTCAACTGAATTTTGTTAACTCTTATGTTTCTGTGGTCTATCACTTGTAAGGCATTGGACATATACATACATAAAATTGTGAATTTTGTATAAGAGTACAAATAATGCTGTGTTATCAACATTTAACATACATAATTCAATTACTTTGCTGGCTCAATCTACTTGTTCCAAACTGGTTAACAACTTCATGAAAACAAGGTAATTATATCCTTTTCAAATTTTAAAAAAAGCACATGAATGCAAATTATTTTAAAAGTTATTCTCTATCAATCTGCAGAGTTAACCGAGAAGTCATCTTATAGAATGGAATGTAATTTGCAATCACTTCTTGAAATCACATTCTAAGCTATGTTGTTGTGGGTCGGCACAAAGGCCATTTGATACCCACACAGGAAGAAACAAAGTTTTTCAAATCCTACTTAAATTGAAAACTCTCACTTGTTTATAATAGATAGCTTTGTGAACAACATTGTAAATTGCTATTCTTTGTAGCCAGAGCTGGAAACGTAAGCGAAATCCCTCAAAATAAATAACCACAAATGCAGACCTAATTGTGGCAGATGCTACACTATCATGTAACCTTGGCCTAAAAAACATTCTAAATTGACACTAACATTGAATGTGATATAATAATAAATTTAGTTGTATCTTCAACACTTATCAGTTTTGGCTGAGTTTGCATAGGTATATAAAAATAGGTATTTAAAAAATGATCTCTGTGAATTAAGACTTTGGAATGCGCAAACCCATCACATAGAGCAGAGGAAGAAAGAATCAAATTATGTATATAATTTCAGTATTCCATTATCAGCAAGCCTTGAATGTTCATAATGACCTAACTGCCCACATATTACTTCAATTTGTACAGATACTCCCATCTAATGCAAAGAGGCTGCGCGCACCAAGTCTTTACTACACAAAAACATCCATGCATTCAATAGCAAAAGAAAATGGAAAAAATGCAGACTCAAATGGAATAAATCTTGGGATGCGTACATGCTACATGGGTGTATACATACCCAGAAAGAACTTCCTAGGAGTTTTGACTTCTTCATCTTTATTGTCTGTTAACACAGACCAAAAGCCAGAAAGAAGAAAAGACAAGAGGCAAAGTTGATTTCGATTCAGCCCAGTATTTTTAAGGAATCACTGTATACTGATATCTCTGCTGTCCCAGAAAAAGCATATATATCCAAGACTAGAATTACATATTTCTCCCTCTTTATTTTTGAATAGAATAGTTTTTAGTAGTATAACACTTCATAATATGGTCCTAAATTGTCATCAATTTTCAGAAAATAAGATAATACAACAATTTAAAATAAGACACAACAGACTTGTAGTATTTGAAAAAATGAACTTTCTTTGTTGGGAAAATTACACGACAATTTCTTTTATCTTAAAATTCTTTAGTAACAGCATGAAACAGCACTGGCCCAGGAACATTAAACTCAAAATGTAGCTTTGTAACAGCAGCAGCCTGAATTCAGACTATTGCCAAGTTGACCAAGTTCAGGTGTGTTTTACATCTGCCACATTTTCTCATCTTTCAGGCAATATCGTTTGCCAATTTCAACAGGTATGTGACTTCTAATTTTTAGCTGCTAGCTGCAGTGGAATGTATTCTGAGACAAAACTACTCAATCCCCACCTGGCCTCCAGGCTTTCCTGACCATAATGTGACACTTAGTCATCCGGACAAGTCCAACCTACATTGAGCTAACTGATTTCAGGCAACAGAGCTCCAAGAAGTTGCAAACAGAATTAGTACCATGGAGCTGGGCAGGTGGAAAAAGCAAAAGTCAGTAATCAGGATCAAAAGCCATCCTGACTTGGAAGTGCACATACTTGCATCCAGTAAAAGAAAGATCTTGCTTGAAAATGATATTCCCAAAGGTAAGAAAGCATTAATAAGTTCATTATCTAAGCACGAATGAGATACTCCTAAATGTGAGATACCAAAAGGACATTTATTATTCAAGGAAGCACATTGCAGATTTAGTAAATCAATGAACTATTATAAGAGGTAAAGTGCCGTTTTCAAATTTAGGTTTCTTTATCCTTACGTACTGGATTTGCACCTTTTTCTTTCATTGCTGACACTTTGTGTGGAGATAAATCTCATTAACAAACATGCTACATTCAAAAGCAAAGATTATCTAATACAAGTCTAATTTATAAGGCATGTTTACTTGGCTATTTTCTCTGAACTGAGAGTGAAGTAAATAACTACACTGTTCAACATACAGCTCCTCCCTTCCAATGTTTCTTTATTTTCTGCCTTCTTATAAGTAGATTCTGCTGAACCTTACATTTACAGTCCTTAACATTCTGAACAAAAATGTACTAGGGTCTTGGATCAAAGCATGCTCTGGAAATATTATTCAGTTAGACACTATGCAATGAATATTGACTTAAAGGGCAGCATGATTTATCTTTAACCCAGAATCACTGTTACAAGTCAAATTTTACTGATTCCAAATATTTAATGTTGCCTCTTCAAAACAGGAAAGGATGAGGTCGCAGGGGACACACCAAAGGCTCATGATGATTTACATTAATATGGGATACAAATCTTTTGATATTACAGGATGCAATTTTGTACAATTCTCTATGAACACTACTCTGTGGAGTTAATTTACTGGATAAAACTGTATGTTTTGATATTAATTTAAAGCTGTACAGAAGTTAGTTGCCCTCTAATCAGTATTGCCAGACATTGAGATATTGGTGAGACTACTTGTGGATTGGGAAGCAGAAAGTTAGAATTTTGTGTTTGTAAAATGCTACAGGGAAAGCATTGTGTGGTCCTTCCTTTTAAAAGATGATGCACTTTTTCTATGCGAGTAGCAGCTTGAAAGCTTGCAAGTACACAGAGAGCACCCAAATTAAAATGTGTATCAAAAGGCCATACAGTTAGCAGGCCAAGCAGCAGTTTTTACCAAAACAACAAGTTTGGAATTTAGCCAAATCAATTTGAACAAGGCACTTAGATACCAAAAACCAATTAAATTTAAATCTGATGATTCTTGACAACATAGGACCAATTCTATTATAAGAAATTGTCATCAAGGGTATAAAAGAAGTGGCAGTCGGGCATTGACTAGAGCTAACTGTCATCTGCCAGAGTTAACAGCCATCAGCTCTCAAGACAGAATTGCTGACTCTCACAGACTCCTCTATGTTTTAGAGAAAGCACTATCCAAAGAACAAAGGTACCCATGGCACAACTAGTGAATATTCCTGACAGAACAGTTGATGAAGAAACCCTTCCTGACAGAATAATTGACAGAGAAGGCACCGAGCATTCTGGAAGATACATAACCTGGCTGTCATTTCGAGAGACTAAATTCCTTTTTTTTTAAATATAAGCAGCACTTGTATTTATTGGAACAGCATGCTATTAAAATCTTAGAGATAGTAGGGAATGCCGATGCTGGAATCTGAGATAACAAGGATGAACACAGCAGGCTGGGCAGCATCAGAGGAGCAAGAAAGCTGACGTTTTGGATCTGGACCCTTCTTCAGAAAAGAATCTTGTTTATTAGAATCTTGTTTTATTCAGGAATAGCTAGTAGTTAGAAGGGATTTATTCAGTTTGTTAATAGTGTAGTTATTTTGTTCACTGTTAGAGTTAGATAAATAAATTGTTACTTGTTGATTATAAAGTGAGTGTCAGGAATTTATTTTGTTTAAATACTAGAAGTTGCTAAAAGGCAGGTTACACCACTTTTCACACTCCTTTCACAGATTATAATGTGAGGTGCTCCTCTTAGGGTGTTTCAGTTTTAGTTCACAGCAGGGGGTCAACCTCCGCTTTAAAACAGCTTGTGGCCGTGATTTGAACAAGATTTAAACGGATTTGAATGGAATTTAAATGGGTCTGAATGGATTTGGATGGATTTAGGGTACAAAAGGTCCAGCAGATTTAAACAGACTTGGGGACTAGTGTCCTACATCTTTAAATAAAGCTTAAGTGAGAAGTGGAAAATCTGTTTAATTTCAGCTGCTTTCTGTTGGTTAAATCAAAAGTGGGGAAATGGCTCTTAACATTACTAAAGAGGTTTTGGGGTTGAAGATGCTTCCCAAATTTGCTAAGTTTAGAAAGACTTTTAGAATTAGCAGACAGGCTAAAATCGGGTTTAACTAAGGATTAAAAAAAAGCTGAAATTGTAACAGAGTTAGTCAAGTACTTAGGTGTATCAGAGAAACAGTCAAGTGCAGTGGAATTAGAAAAAAATAAACTGCAAATGAGAAGATTGGAGTTAGAGAGTGAACTTAAAAGGCTGGAGTTAGAGTAAGAAAGAACTGAAACAGTTTGAATTATGGTTAGAAGTAGAAGAAAAAAGGAAGGAGAAAAAGAAAGGATAGCCATGGCAGAAGAGAAAGGAAGGGAAAGAATGTTCAAGTTGGAAAAGATGAAGCAGCTTGAACATTAAAAAGAGAGAGAGTTTGAACTTTGGAAGTAGGCAATTAGGCAGGAAAGTCAATTTAAAAGGATGGAGATAAAGATAGAGAATAGAGCTAGATAAAGACAAGATAGGCTTGGTGAGGAGGACAGTGATGATGAGCAAACCCATCATAGCCAAAGGCCTGGCAAGGATATATACAAATATGTCAAAACATTATCAAAATTTGATGAAAACAATGTAGAAGCCTTTTTCATTAGCCAATTTCTCAAAGACAAACGACTGAACTGGCCAGAGACTATGTGGGTAATATTAATTCAGACCAAGTTGAGAGGCAAGGCGAGTGAGGTGCTTGCAGCACTGTCGGAGGTGATGTCAGGGGAATATGAAGAAATAAAACAGGCTATTCGGAGAGCCTACGAATTGGTACCAGAATAGTACAGACAACAGTTCAGAAACGTAAGAAAGGAATCGTGTCAGACTTATATCGAGTTTGAAAGAACTAAACAGAACAACTTCGATAGATGGATGAAAGCATTGAAGATAGAAAAGATAATATATGAGGATCTTAGAGATGTTATTCTGCTGGAGGAATTTAAAAACTCACTTCCAGAAGCAAAAAGAACTCATGTTGAGGAACAGAAAGTTAAAACAGCGAGAAGAGCTGCAGAGATAGCAGATGAATACGCATTTGTGCGCAAATCAAAATCTAGCTTCCGACAATTTCATTCCATGAGGAAACAGAAAGCGGATCAAACTGGGAACAGTTTACCACATGTGAAAAAAGAAACCCAAGTGGGTAGAAAAGAGGTGAAAGACCTCAGGTGTTTTCACTGCAATAAGGTGGGGCACACAGTCACAGTACTGGTGGTTTAAGAAAGGCACTGGGAAAAAGGATGTGGTAAAAGAAGCTAAACTAGTGGGATTAGTGGAGTTAGTGAAGAAAATCCCAAAAGAAGTCGAGGAGCTGCAGGAGAGTGCACAGCCTCATCAAGGGCTGGATGGTAAGATAGCACTCAAACTTTCAAAGACTTGAAAGGTTTACTCAGGTAAAATAGGGGGAGTAGATAAAGAAGTTAAAATATTGAGAAATAAGGGAGCTGGTCAGTATCTAAGCGTAAGAGATGAAAATATTTGCATTCCTTCTGAAATATTGCCCAAGAGAGTGATAATCTGTGGAATAAGTGGAGAGAGAATTAGTGTTTCCTTGTGTTAAATAAGGCTAGAAAGTCCAATCAAGACTGGGGGAAATGACAGTGGGAGTGATGTAAAAAATTGGCTATTCCAGGAGTACACTTTGATCTTGGAAAAGATATAGCTGGATGACAGGTGGGAGGAGTAATGCCCATTTTAGTGGAGATGCCAAAAGAAAACCAGGGAACTGAGGAATTAGAAGAAAACTACCCTGGAATTTTTCCTGAACTATGGGGTGACAAAATCCCACAGCCATAAATTAAAACAAGAAGGGAAATCAAGAGAGAACGATGAAGGCTTTGAGGTACGGTTAGCTGAGATGGTAAAGGAAAAACCTAAGCAAGTAGAGGATCAGGCAGAGGTGTTTAGTTCTGAAAGATTAATGGAGTTACAACAAATAGATGAGACGATAAAAGATTTATATCATAAAGCCTACACTGAAAAGGAATTGGAATGTATTTCAGAATGCTATTATCTTAAGGATAAAATCTTAAGGCGGAAATGGAGACCTTAGCAGGTTAGTGCAGGTATGAGATGAGCGGACGTTCAAAGAGATTATGTTGCCAATAGAATTTAGACAGGAAATAATGCAGTTAGCATACAAATTTCCTGTAGAAGGTCATCTAGAAGTGAGGAAAGCTCCGGCTAAGAAACAGAAGCATTTCTATTGGCCTGGGTTACATAAAGATGTGGTTGAATTTTGCTGTACCTGTCATATGTGTCAGATGGCAGGAAAGCCACAGGCAGTAATAAAACTAGAGCCTTTGATGCCAATTCCCACATTTGGAGAACCTTTCAAGTGAGTTATGATTGATTGCGTAGGTCACCTCCCTAAAACCAAAAGTGGGAACCAGTATTTGCTAACCATAATGGAGGTGTCTACCAGGGTTCTGGAGGCAATTCCATTATGGAATGTTTTGGCAAAAAAGGTTGTGGAAGAGTCGGTTGCTTTCTTTATCCATTAAGAACGACCCAGAGAGAATCAGTCAGACCAAGGGTCCAATTTTACTGCCAAACTATTTAAGGTGGTCATGGATAGCTTAGGCAACAAACACTTTATTTAAAGTGCATACCATCCTAAATCCCAGGGAGCATTGGAAAGGTGGCATCAGACCCTAAAGACCATGTTGAGGGCTTATTGCCAGGATTACCCAAATGATTGCGATAATGGTATCCCATTTATATCATTTGCTATTAGAGATGCTCCAAATGAATCGACTCAATTTACTCCATTTGAATTGATATTCAGACACAAAGGTCAACGCTGTGACTAAATCTGACTCATACCCAATTCCAAGGCTGGAGGATTGTTTGGAAAAAGTAGGACAAACCACTTACATCACAAAGTTGGACTTACTTCCCGGTTATTGGCAAGTACCTTAGTCAGAGAGTGTGAAAGGAGTTTCTGCTTTTGTAACCCCAAATGGGTTATATCAATTTAAATTAATGCCCTTGGAATGAAAAACACACCAGCCACTTTTCAAAGGCTGACGAACAGAGTTGTCACAGGGCTGGCTAATTGTGCCATATCTATAGATGACTTAGAGATCTTTAGCCATTAGTGAGAAGATCACATGAAGCATTTGGCAGAGCTCTTTGAGAAACTAGGGAAGGCAAAGGTGGTCACAAATTTGGCAAAACCAGAATGTGCGAAGGCGGAAGTGACATTCTTAGGGCACAACATCGGACACGGATGGATGACACCGAGGAACGTGAAGATGAAGGCCACCAAGGAATTTCCAAGACCATCCTCGAAGAAGGAAGTGCTATGATTTATAGGATTGAGCAGATTCTACAGGAAATTTTACCAAACTTTAGTACTGGGTGGCAACGCTGACGGATTTGTTAAAGAGAGAACACGAAATTTCAGTGGACAGAATGCTAGGAGGCATTTGAGAATTTAAAAGCAGTGCTAACCACTGCACCAGTTTTAGCCACACCAAATTTTTTGAAACCCTTCAAAGTCACCATTGATGCAAGTGATGTAGGTGTTGGAGCTGCATTGTTACAGGAGGATAATTGTGGAATTGAAAGGCCAATCGGTTATTTTTCAAAGAAAAAATGCTCAGTATCCACCAGAAAAGAAATGTAACCGTTGAAAAAGTTTTATTGAGTTTGGTAATGGCCTTACAACATTTTAATGTTTACGTTGCAAACAATGCAGAGACACTTGTGTATACTGATCACAATCCTTTGACATTTCTGGAAAGATTTAAGGACAAGAACATCAGGTTATTTCATCGGAGTTTCGTGCAACAAAAATTTAATTTACAGATGGTACATGTTGTGGCTCGTGAAATTATGACTGCAGATGCTTTATTGTGAGTTTAAAAGAAAAAAATGTTTATATGAGATAGAAACGGTAGTGTTCAATGTGTGTGTGTGTATATATATATAAAATATATATTTATATATAGAATTAGTATAAAATGTGTAACTCTAGATTAATGAGCTATGGATCTAGTAATACAACGTAGTTAAGGTTTTCAAAGAAAAAAATTAAGCCATCTTTTCATAATGATGTTTTTATTCTTAAAAGGGGGAGGTGTTGCAAAGTTGGGTAGAGTACTTGTGGTTTGGGAGGCAGAAAGTTAGAACTTGGTGTTTGTACAATGCTAGGGGGGAATTATTGCATGGCCCTTTTAAAAGATGATGCACTTTTGCTACACTTACAGATTTTAGAAAATGTCTGAGTGTAGCAGCTAGGAAGTTACCAAATACACAGAGAGCACCCGAATTGAAACATTTGCATCAAAAAGGCCATACGGTTAGCAGGCCAAGCAGCAGTTTTTACCAAGATAACAAGTTTGGAATTTAGCCAATCAATTTGAACAAGGCATTTAGATACCAAAAACCAACTAAATTTAAGCCTGATGGTTTTGACAACATAGGACCAATCCTATTGTAAGAAACTGATATGTCATCAAGGGTACAAAAGAAGGGGCAGTTGGGCAAAGATAGGAGAGCTTATTGTCATCTGCCAGAATTAAGAGCAATCACCTCTCGAGAGAATTGCTGACTCTCAGACTCCTCCATGTCTTAGTGAAAGCACCATCTAAAGAACAAAGGTATCCATGGCACAACTAGTGAATATTCCTGATAGAAGAATCAATGGAGAAACCCTTCCTGACAGAATAATTGATAGAGAAGGCACCAAGCATTCCGGAAACACGTAACCTGGCTGTTATTTTGAGAGACTAAATTCTATTTTATTTAATATATGTGGGACTTATATTTATTGGAACAGCAAACTATTAAAATCTTGTTTTATTCAGGAATAGTTATTAGTTAAAAGGGATTTATTCATTTGATCAATAGTTTAGTTAATTTGTTCACTATTAGAGTTAGATAAATAAATTGTTACTTGTTGATTGTAAAGTGAGTGTTAGGGATTTATTTTGTTTAACCACTAGAAGTTGCTGAAAGGCAGGTTACACTACTTTTCACACTCCTTTTACAGATTATACGGTGAGGTGCTCCTTAGTGTTTCAGTTTTAGTTTGGGGGGGGGGGGTGGTGGTAACCTCTGTTTTATAACAGTAAATTTGCAGCATTTAAAGCAATACACAAACGTGTCTTTGGTTTGGCACAAATTGTCAGCATCTGCTATCTTCTCCCCATCGTGACTACCAACATCTCAATGGAATATTTAGCTCTAGAAATGCTGAAAAGTTACGGTGATACTTGGCATATGCCAAGGTGGGGGCGAATTTCCTCCTACAATTCCTCCCATGAATGAATTGCATATGATCAACTAATTCAATTTCACAAGCGTAAGAATAGTGGAGTAAGGGGAATAAGGAACAGTGGAGGATGGATTGAGTAAGAGATGACGAGAGAATGAGAACGAGGCATGCTGCGAGACAAGTAGAACAACTAAGCCTCTTACGTTCACACCCTGGCCTTTACAGTTCATTAAATAATTCTGCTACATTGAAAACCAGTATGATTGCGGTAAGTTTGTTCAATTTTAGTAGATGTGACTCTAAGATCTAGCTTATCAGCCATGCAAGAGCGCAGAACTCAAGACTAGTGACACAGACTTTCCTAGGTGGACAATCATACTCAGTAGTGAGTGATTGCCGATGATGATGAATATTTCGAAGTGTATTTTGTATGAGGATAGGTAGGTGCAGTCCTTTTACATGGGCTCTGCCTTTCAAATGTATTTCGTTCCTGACACCGCATCTCCCTAAAGTAAATTATATCAATTGAGGTTAAGTGCAAATTGGTGGTGAGCACTGATTGGTTTTCAAGCACCCCTAGAAAGATACTTGGTTCAAGTTCCTCGAGTCCTGGCAACGTGTTTATAACATGTCGGAACAGGTTGAATAATTTTTTTTTTTTAAAAAAAGTTCACTTCACAATTAACTCTGATTTTTTCCTTCACCAATGGCTATCAGGAGAGTAATGCTCAGCACCCCCACTGTAATTTTGAACATGAAATTAGCAAAATGTGACTTAATCACAGAACCGGCAGCTCAGGATATTAATTGCAAAATCGTTATATTACCTAAAATAATAACATTTTTAAAATGGGATCCTTCTAATAATAATGTTTCTTTACATCTGTGAATTTTATTAAAAAAGATTTACCTGATTGCTTATCACAAAAGATTTTGTATTGATTAAACATTTTAAACCTGCCATGTTCAGATTGCCTACATTCGATGGTCACTAACCTGTAAAGGCACGGCGTCGTGTTGTGAGTTCACTGGCTACACGAACAGCAGTACATAACTTCAACATCACCAACATGGTAATGATCATGATTATACTTTGTAATAAAAGGGGTGGTTCAAAGTACCTTCCAAACCTTAAGAAAAGACAGAATACATTATATTCACAATTCAAGCTACACAAGTTCCTTTAAACAAACAATCCTTGTAACTTTAAAGAATTATGAGTACTCATAACTAAAATCAGAAATATACAGAAACTAGGTACAAAAGGAGTCATTTGGACCAAGTGGTCTATACCAGCATTCATACTTCCCCCACTTGAAATCTTCCCAAATCCTTCAATTGCATTATTCAAGTGTCTAGCTTTTCATTAAATATTATACAGCAATGCTTTCTGCTTCAACCAGTCCTATATTCATCACAATGTATGAAAAAAGCTTTCTAAATTATTTTAGTTTGTTTGTCAACATCCAATTATTTTTACACCTCAACACTAGCAAACTCCTTTATAATTACAAAGGCATTCAACAGGTCTGCATTATGTTTTCTTGCTAATAGAGAAAGAATCTCAACCAACTTAGTGTTTGCTGATAGTTAGTTGGAGAAACTCGAGAAGTTGAGATTTTGTTTTGGCATAGACAGGCTGAAGGGATATTTGATCAAGAAGTTTGAAATCTTGAAAGAAAGAAGGAGAAACCGTAGTCAGTAACTGAAAGCTAGTAACCAGAGGAGACAAGTTTAAAAAGTCATTATCAAGAGAATAAAGGTGAGGGTGGCAAAATTTCCACAGCAAAATTTTAGGATTAATAGGTTTCTCTGATTCCCTATTGAATTATATTTATCAGCATGTGCTTCAGTTTGACCTATTACTACTCTGAATAGGAATGTTTTCTGCTTCTATCCTATTAAAGTCTTCCATAATCTTTCGTATCATATCAGCCATATTTCATTCATAAAAGACACAGCGTCACTAAATAACTCTGGGCATAAGGCATTATGTGAAGCAGCCTAGCACTGTTACCTCACAACATCAAGGCCCCAGGTTTGATTCCAACCTTGGGTGACTGTCTGTATTGAGTTTGCACATTCTCCTTGTCTGCTTGGGTTTCTGTGAGGTGCTCCAGTTCTCTCCCACAGTCCAAAGATGTGCTGGTTGGGTGGATTAACTAAATTGCCCCATAGCATCCAAGGTTGTGCAGGTTAAGTGGGTTAGCCATGATAAAAACTTCACTTGGGGTCAGTGAAACGGTGAGGGGTCGGATGTTCTTTGGAGGTTCGGTGCAGACTTGATGAGTTGAATGGCTTCTTTTCACTGTAGGAATGCTATTATTATTGATCTAATTGATTTTGGGTGGGGGAGTTTTTAACAACAGGCCTCATCATTGCAGAGTGTTGGCATTGCAAGGAAATAATATGTTGAATGATTTTAAAGACAGGTACAGTTTGATTTATTTTTGCTGACTTTACCATTTGACTAATAGAGCTTATATGCTAAGTATGTACTGCAGACAGTAGTTAAATGTGCCTATGGAAATGTAAGATGTCCAGGAGATAACTGTGCATTAGGATCTCTTAATGCCTATTTGTACAGTTTCAGTGTCACCTCAATCAAATTAAGCACAACCTGAATATTATGCCCTTACATAACCATGCCTACACGATCTCACTGCAGCATATATTCCAAAACTCAATGTTTATTAAATTCTGCTCTGTGCCAGACCTTGGCAATGTGTTGCATCCAATATATGTCCATCCTGATCTGGCACTGCACACTATAGCATACCATAATTTGCATTGTCCCAGAGTTTACTGCCAAAATAATGGTGAGTGAAGACAAATACTCAATCTGTTCAAAAAGAAAACCCAGCAATTTACAGTGAGGAAGAGATGAAAAACCATTGGATGAAATGCCTGCAAAAAAAAGTTTGCCATCACTCTCCCTGTAAATATGCCAAATAAACGTGTTCAGAAATGTTTTGAAATATCTGGGGCAGGTGGTACTATAATCCATACCTTCTTAGTACGGACACTATCACTGCGCCCGAAGGCCCTACTTTCGTGCAACCAAGGGAAATTGCTGCATATGTCCTGTAAAACTTACTGCAGTACGTTAGGGCTGGTATTTAATGGCATAAAGACTATTAATGGGCCCTTAATGCTTCCAATGGTCTTCCACTAGCTAGCAATTATACAAAAGCACAGCAAGTGCTACGTAAGCATACTAGTAGTATTGATGGATTAGTCATAGAGAAATACAGCACAGAAACAAGCCCTTTGGATCAACTTATCCATGCTGACCAGGTATCCTAAACAAATCCACTCCCATTTGCCAGCATTTGGCCTGTATCCCTCTAAACCTTTTCTATTTGTATACCTATCCAGATGTCTTTTAAACTTTATAATTGTACCAGTCTCCACCACTTCCTCTCAGTTCATTCCACACATGCACAACCATCTGTGTGAAGAAGTTGCCCCCTTAGGTCCCTTTTAAATCTTTCCCCTCTCACCTTAAACCTATGCCCTCTAGTTTTGGACTCCCCAACCCTAGGGAAGAGACCTTGTCTATTCACTCTATCCATGCCTCTCATGTTTTTATAAACCTCTATAAGGTCACCCCTCAGCCTCTGACACTCGAGGGAAAATAGCCCCAGCCTATTTAGACTCTTCTCTAGCTCAAACCCTCCAACCCTGGCAATATTCTTGTACATCTATTCTGAAGCCTTTCAAGTTTTACAGCATCCTTCCTATAGCAAGGAGACCAGAGTTGAACGCGTATTCCAATAGTGGCCTAACCAACGTCCTGTACAGCCACAACATGACCTCCTGACTCCTATACTCAATGCACTGACAATAAAGGCAAGCATATGAAACGCCTTCTTCACTATCCTATCTACCTGCGACTCCACTTTCAAAGAACTATGAAGATGCACTCCAAGGTCTCTCTGTTCAGCAACACTCCCCAGGACTTTACCATTGAGGTGTATAAGTCCTGCGCTAACTTGACTTTCCAAAAAGTAAGCACCTCAAATTTATCTAAATTAAACTCCATCTGCCACTCCTCAGCCTGTTGGCCCAGCTGGTCAAGATCCTGTTGTACTCTGAGGTAACCTTCTTGGCTGTCCACTACACCACCAATTTAGGTGTCATCTGCAAACTCATTAACCACGTCTCCTATCTTCACATCCAAATCATTTATATAAATGACAAAAAGCAATGGACCCAGTACCGATCGTGGATTTTAGATTAGAGTGAAATTAATACTCAACTCCTTTCAGTATGTCAGAGCTGTAATGTTTCCATTTTGCCAAAGTATACAGGTCCACTCATTGACAAGTATTAATTCCAGAAGCCACACATTACTGTAAAGTATGTTGCTTTAGCATGTAGGCAGCAAGTAGCATTTACTTCCTGAGTTTCAAGAACTACAAAGCAATCTGAACTCTGGACAGGAAGCAATCTGATTCACATGATTGTTATTTTCTAAGAAGGCATGCATTCAGTGATATTTACTTCAATAGTCTAATGTCTTGTTCTTGTCGTCTAACTCACCATGGCTTCACTCCTTCCGATATCCAGAGTGTTCTCCAACCTCATAAGCCCTGTTGTTACAAATCTGGCTTGGTGCAACTCCAATTTAATTATTCCACCACTGGCAGGCCAGTTTTGTTATCCAAGCCGCAAGCTCTTAAACACATATTCACTTACTTCTATCTACCATGCCTTCCTCCTTAAGCACTCTCCTTAAAACCTACCTCTTTGACCAAGCTTTGTCATCTGAACTAACAACTCCCAGGACCGCATCATCCACTGTTTTGGAACGCGCTGCCAAGTGCCTTGGGATGTTGTTTTACAGTAAAAGGTGCTATGTAATGCTATGTAAGTTGTTGTTATCCTTGTGGATATCAAAGCTATTACTTCAGGGTTTTGCTGGCCATTCAAATCCTTAAATCTTATTAGCTGAGGAAACTGACTACTAGCTCTGTCACTGACTAGATTCCCACTGCCTTTGTCACACTGTTACCAATGAATTCTTCCAGAAGTTTGAGACACAATTAATTACAGCTTAAGAGGGGATCAAATCCAGTTCATTGGTATGCCCAGATCCAACAATTTTTGGGCTATTACTTTTTTTCAGAAATTTGTGACAAGAATTGATCACTTGAAGATGCACAACAATTGAGCTTATCTCTAACTACATCAATGTAGCAAATTTCAGATCAGCTCACCATGCTCAACTTTATATTCAGATGACAAGAACATTTTACACAGTGAGTGGTACAAAGTGATCACTACCTAGTAACTCCTAGTCACAAAGACGACTAAATGAGAGTTATGATGCCCCTTGCCCCAAAACCCCAACAACCACTTTCCACAACACATATAAAGTATTGACTTCATATACAGAAGTATATCTAGGATCTATGGAACTAAATACCAGCACCAAAGGTGCTCACTTAAATGTCCCAAATCCACACAACGTCATAAGGTATTACTAAATGCAGATCTTTTCACTTTCCAAAGACTGACAATCTTTTCTTTAAAGATTAAAAACTCAATTCAGCCATAATGCCATCCCACAGTTTTATGCTTTCCTGACACTGTAAGGAACACTGTCACATTTGTCAAATTGACAGTTCCAAAGTACTTGGTAGAACAAATTCGCCCAGCATGATCGGATATTAGTTAGGGTTCGGTACAAAGTGAAAGTAGACTTACCAAAATAATACTCTCAATATATTGGCCACAAGCAGCACTAAGCAGACGTAGATGGAGAACCCCTCTGCATTCTGTGTGCGCTTGATATCCCTGTATTGAGGAATGTAGGGCACGACACCACCAAACACCATTGCCACCGCTGCAATCCAAGAAGCCAGCTTGCCGACGGGGAGGACAAACTGCTTGAGAGAGCTCAGACCCTGTTCCATGTTTGTCAACAAATAAATCCCGGCCAGACGGCCAAGAGGAAGGTTTGGCCTCTTCAGTCACCAAAGCCGCAATCTTCAGCCGCCTGCTGCATTGTTGTACAAGAGGTCCCGGAAGCGGCTTGAAACTACGCTATAGTTGGGGGATTGGAATGTGAGCAGTGGAGTGCCCGACCCAGCTCTGCTGATGTCACTGAAACATCCGGATTTCCTCAATGCCACGCCAACAACTGAAATGTAAAAAAAATTAAATGTGCTCGTATTATGTTGTTTTTTTCTAAACGCACAATTTAATCCCACAAGCGACGGAAAGGCAGAATAAAGAAATGTTTTAATTGATTGCAAGGGGTCCACGTGATGCGTCTCCACCAAAAGATGCATGAAGCTGCAGAAGGGAAGGCATTTCACTCAAGTTCGTGGAACACGTGTATAACAGACACATGATCCGACAAGAAGTTAATTTATCACTCCAGCTTCACCTTCTCTCACCACCCTTACACAATAAAAGTAAAGACGGCGAGATAAGAGTACTTACGAAGCCATAAGTCCTGATATTGTGCATTAAGTACCCTGTTCTTATCTTGCACTGATACACAGCGAAAACATTCTAACTTTCCAGGGAACACTGACTTAAGAAAAATGGGCATCTTAAGGGAATCATAATATGTAAATAGTACACAAATTTACAACTATTATTCCCCCAACACCTGTTTAGACAGTGATCTTATTCAAGCTTTAAATTAACTTTCATCTTCAGCAAGGTTAATAGCAGAAGTTAAAGCATAATTGCTACCCCTGCTTATGGTCAGGTCATACCATTCCCAACACTGCTTCCAAGCTGCAGATTCATTACACAGACTTTCCCAAATGAATCCATCTTAACTGGGAAGAGACAATATCTCACTCTGCACTCTGTCTCCACGAATGCTGTCTGATCCAACGTGATCTCCAGCATTTGTGGTTTTCAACAGAAAACCTGTTGGGTTTCAGATTCCCATTCAATGTCTCTTGCTACAAATGTACATGGAACCTTGGGTGATGATAGATCAGGTTCTGAATCTCTGAACGTTTACAGTTGGACAGTTGAATCGAGATTCCAGTGAAGGAATTAATGCTAAGAGGAGAGCATGATATGAAGGGAAACTGGATATGATAAAAACAAACCTTGATAGTTTGAGAAAATAGTTCATAGGGCAGAATATTTCATTAGTTCAACCTGAATGTTTTGGTTGTGTAGTTTTACATTAACAATTTTGTCACTTCAATGCTCCTTGTGCATATTTTCTCATGTCCAATCTACTTTAAGACAAACAATGAATTGCAAAGTCATTGACCTTGGCTACATACATGCAGAATAGATTAATTGTACCAGTGTACTCCAGGGCATTAAGTTCTTTATTTAATGGCTGATTCTGTTCATAATCAAAACCAAGGCCATCATCAGCTTCAGTAAATTGACATATGTGAAACTCCTGCTCCTCGTTTCCGTATCCAAGAGAATTCTGTAAAAGAGATAGTGCCAGACAAGCACTAGCCATGGCTGCACCAATTATTAAAAAGCATGTCAAGGTAAACTGGTTGAAATATCAACTGACTTTAGCATTGTCAATCCATTTTGAAACAAGTACTCATTTCATTTGTCTCCTTGAAGGTGAATAAGCCAAGTACCCAAGTTCATATTATTAAATCCAGCCCTCTTATGTCAGTGGCAGAATTATAGATGCACTTTTTATAGTATCTAACCAAAAGCCAAGATTTATACGTTGCTAGAAGCATTAAAGTTTGATCACAAGCTGAGGCTGAGTTACACATTAAGCTGAGGCTGAGTTACACATTTACCTGAGGGCTTCATCCTCATTGTGCACTGCACTTTACCACACTGAAACCACTTTACCATATCAGCCATGTTTTTACAAGTTCTTATAACTGACAGTGAGAAGTGAGAATGTAAACTGCAGAAGCACTGGCCTAATCTTCAGTCTTCCCTGGACTTCAGGTGGTACTAATATAAAAGTCCTTGTTCAAAAGAGGTCATAATGACAAGCCCAGCAATTACAGACCAGTCAGTTTAACTTCATTTGTGGGGAAACCTGGAGAACAATAAATCAGGATAGGATTAATGGTCACATGAACAAACATGGGTGAATTAGTCAGTCTGAATTTCTTAACGTAATTCATGCTTAACTAACTTGCTGATGGTAACAGCAGGGTTGAGGAGGGTAATACTGATGTGCCGCACATGGACTTCCAAAAGTACCACACAACAGACTTGTGATAATAGTTATAGCTCATGGAATAAAAACAGTAGCAACATTGATTCAAAATTGGCTGAGTGACAGGAATATCTTTCTTTCTGGAGGAATGTTTGTAGCGGAGTTCCCCAGGGATTGATATTGGGACCCTTGCTTTTCCAGATATAAAGCAAAGTAATGATCTAGACCTTGGCGTGGAGGGGACACATTTGCAGATGACCCAAAACTTAGAAACAGTATAAATTGAGAGGAGAATAGTGTAAAACTTCAAAAGGACATTGACAAATTGGTAGACTGGGTGGATAGATGGCAAATGATGTTCAATGCAGATGAAAAGTGATATATTTTGGTAGAAGAATCTTGGACATATGAAGGTTACATATAAAAAACAGACAACATGCAAACACAATGGGTCATGTTACTTTTTTTCTGTAACGTAATGGTTCTGTGATACTGTCAGTTGTCTCATACATATCAAATGGTCACTAGGAAGAGCCTTATACAATCCACATAGTACTTCATTTCATCCAAAAATCTGCTGCTCATATCCTAACTTACATCAGATCTCATTTCCTTATCACTCGTGCTTGCTGACCTACACCAGCTCCCTGTCTGACAAGGCTAATATATAATCAAAATTCTCAAGTTAAAATCACTCTATGGTATTGCCCTTCGCAGGCTAATCTCCTCCGGCCCTGTAACCTATTCAAAAATTTCTCAATTCCCCCAATTCTGGTTTCTTCAGGATCGCCAGTGTTCATCAATCCATCAGTGATAGTCATGTCTTCAGCTACTTGGGCTGTATTTCCCTCCCTAAACCTCTCCAACTCATCTACCTTGTGTCAGGGCACTTAGGGAAGGTTAATGTAAGGAGGACCTTACCTTAAAAAAAACATTCTTGTCACTTGTTTAACAATTTCACAAGGCTTGCTGCCACGTTTTATTTGATAACCCTCCTTAAGTGCTTTGACACATTCTATTACCCAAATGGCACTATGTGGGGGAGTCATTGCCACAGCAGTACTGAACTATTAGTTCAGAGGCACAAACTAATGCTCTGGGGGTTTGGGTTCAAAATCCCACCACGCTAGTTGGAAGAATGTAGCTTTGATTAATAAATACTTTTAAGTAAACAGAAAGTCTCGGTAACGGTAACAAAGAAATCATTGTTGACATTCTTATTAGCTAGGGGGATCAAAAGTTAGAGGGTAGATGGGAATACGGGAATATGAAATTTGGAACACAAACTGATCGTGTGTACTTCCTGAGTTAGCAGAGCAGGCTGAATGAGTCAAATGATCTGCTCCTAATTTGTACATTCATACAGTCACTAAAAAGCCATCTGATTCACAAAGGTCCTTTAGGGAAAGAAATCTGCCATCCTTACCTGGATTTGGCTGCATGTGACTCCAGGCCCATAGCAATGTGGTTGACTCTTTAACTGCCCTCTAGATTTGGCCTAGGAGTCACTCAGCTCAAGGGCAACTAGGGACTGGCAACAAATGCTGACCTCTCTGGCGATGACCATGTTCCCATGAAAGAATAAAGGAAAAAAAATTGTTGTTGCCACCAAAAGGCTTACCATTTCCCTTATTTGTAATGACAGCTTAGCGAATAAGTATTAACAAAAAGTAAACTATTCCCCTTCATAGAATCCAGACCAAAATAATTCAAATGAAAATGCAAGTAGTAGTTTGCTATCAGAACGATGAAAACTCAGTATCAAGTTTGTTAGATAATCGCTTCTGTGAAGCAATTCTGATGTTTTATTAGATTAACAACACTATATTAATACAAGTGATTGTATTGTTCTGCTGCAGTATTTCATGACTTCAAGGCCAGGCTGTGCAACTGTTATACTTCCTAGATCAGATTTGTGATTCCTTCCCGAAATTTCAGGCATTCAGGTGTACCAGATAGGGTTTTTACCACAGTCGAAGATAGTGTCATGGTCATCATCATTGAAGCTAGTTTTTAATTCCAGATTTCTGGACTGAATTTAAATCACGCAGCAGCCTCCATGGTGAGATTCAAACTACTGGCCCAACAGCATTAGCCTGAGTCCCTGGATTACTAGTCTAGCAACATTACCATAATGCTGCAGTCTCCCCATAGATCGTCCTGCTTCCACAGGTTTATGGAACTGTCAAACTGACTGTGCAAATGGCTACCAGATCACCCTCAGAGGCTTAAATAAAGTTGCTCTCCCAACACTGACAGGATTTTCAACGCGACGTACAGGGTGGCCAGTGATTCAGGAGGTCATCTGTACCACCATGGCAGCATCCTGGAACCTGCAGAGCTCTCAATGTAAAAACATGCATGGTCACCTCCATTTCTCCCCAGGGTCACTGTCCACTGTTTCCCCATTCAACCCTGGCAGAACCCTCATTTAGTCTGATTCCCTCTTACAATCTAATCTGCTATTATCTTCAGAAGCTATTGATACCACCCAGACTTCCTGTATCTCAGGACCTCCTCAACCACCGTTTTGCCCACCAGGACCCACTTTCTCCCCATCCCACTTTGCATCCATCCCTCCATTCCTTTTTCCTCTTCCTTCCCTATCCCCTCATTCACCAGCCCTCCCTCTTCTCCACTCATCCTCCCATCTTTTCTTCACTCATTCTGCCACATCCTCACTCCCTCCTTTCCAACCCCATTCTCCTTCAGCTTGCTTTTCCTCCTTCCCCCATCTCCTCCCTCAAACTTCCTCTAACCTCCCTTCTCCTCTACTTGCCTACTGGCCTCCTCTATGCCTTCCAATCCTGGCATTTGTCACTCCTCACTCATCCACTCTCCCCTTTCCACACCAACAACAGCCCTCCCCATCTCTGTCCCACTCCCCTTTATAATCCCTGCCCTCTCCCATCTCTCTCTCTCTCTCTCTCCCCCCGCCTCTCCC